TCAGTTTTCATAATAGTTTTCGTAATCGTAATATATCGAATGAGTATCAGTTTACCTTGTTGAAGTTGTTGGAGTTGGTACTTCAAATACTTGATAACGTCTTCTTTCACTTTTCTGATGTTTTAGGCCAACTGTCAGTCAATATTCAAGAATGCTAAGTGCTCCTTCTGGAGCAGTGATAATACGACTGGCTTGATATTGTTTAATTTCTTTGTTGTGAAGCCTCATATTTGTTTACTCGACATTGTTGTGTCAACTTCAACAATGCCAACATATATTTGTTTACACGGCATTGTTGTGTTTCACAACAATGCCGAGTAAACAAATATCTGTTGGCATTGTTGATGACGTCATTTTTTGAAGACAAATTGGTTGAAGACAACGACTAATCACAAATTTTTATAGTAAGATAAGAAGATGTGTCTGAATCACGTACACACTTGTTTATCCTCTCCTGTCAAACCTTACTAGCAACAGTACTCCACAGAAAATAACTCCAAAGAATTCAAATTTCATTTTAAATTCAGTGGCAGAAACATTATCTCGACAAATGAAGTGTTATGAAATTCTAAAAAATCAAACCATGATGACTAATTTTCACGTCAGGAAACTGTCACTTAGAAGTTTTAAACAGCGCCGGATAGGAAATAGATGATGTAGACTGACGTGAATTCAGGTGGTCACGGCCTGTATTTTAATCCACTACGCTAGCATTTTTGTCGAGACATTGATAAAAATACTTAATATCGCAATCACAATAGGAGACACGGATTGCCAACATACCTTACAAAAAATCTCCAGACTGATGCAAGAGTACTGCCAGCTCCGTTTTGCATTATTACAAAGATGAAACTCACGTTGAGTTCAGTCTATTACAAAAAATGAACACAAGAATTCGTTACAGGAAGAATTTGCGTCTTTTTGGTGGCAGTAAACACCTCTGAAACGTCGATAAACGTCTAACAGAAATCGGGAAGACAGTCGTCTTCATAAAATATAGAACGAATTAAGATCTATATAATTTCTGAATAATGTGAATAGCTTGACTATATTCTTGAAATCATGCATTGACGCAACTTCATACAGGCCTACAACGTTACGGAATTTACTTATGTTAATTTCGTAAGTAACACGCCCTGATTGGGTTTGCTATTTCACATACCTTGAACCGAAAATAAAATAAAAGGTAAAGCCAAAGGTTTTAATGTGTCATATTGATTTAACCGAAAATAAAGAAGATCGTGGAAGTCAGGAAATTTAGAGATTTATATCTGTAAGGTTACACATTTAATTTCAAGAAGAAATAGTCACACAGAAGGGTTTTATCAACAAGTAACCAACTAGTATTTTCACTCTTGTCTTAATCGAGTCGACATTATGTTTGATGTAAAAATAATTGTTTTGATGCTTGTCATCTTTCTTTTATTGACGTTGGCTAACATCTTTCTACTGTAAACAACCATCATATGAGCTACATACATCTTTATTACATTCTAAGGATCCATAAGAGAGTCAGATGACAATAGGATGTGAAAAAGTCATAATAATAATAATAATACAATTCTTACTATTATATAAATTAAACATAATACAACAAAGGGTTCACCTAAAGAAATTTTATTTCACTATTCAGCATCCACTTGTGTAATCGTGGAGAATGGCTTATTGATTACCTGAACTAGATTACGTGATAAATGAGTATTCAATGTCATCTGGTGGCATTTATTGTAATTATTTACAACCCATAGTGTTACAATTACTGGATAGAGAGCAGCACATCCTGCTTGCTTTAAAATGGCGTCAGCGTCTGTCTATGTTAAAGACGACCAAGGTATTTGTTATCGAAACAAATTACAAGTGAGGCTGAAATGCACAATATGAATTATGATACATATATTAGTTATTTACAATATGTGTTTACAATAAAATACTAAGTGTATTTATTGTTTTCCTTAAATAATACAAACTAACGGCATACCTCGTTTTATTGCGCTTCGCAGATTTTTTTTTTTTTTTTTTTTTTACAAATTGACGGTTTGTGGCAACCCTGAGTCCAGCAAGTCTAACGGCACCATTTTAAGAAACAACATGTGTTCGCTACGTGCTTCTGTGTCAGATGGTAATTATCGCATTGTTTTTTAGACATAATGCTATTGCACACTTATTAAACTACAGTGTAAGACTGTGATCTTGAGACTTGCGGGGTGAAGCAGGTAAGATAGCGTCAGCCTTTAACGTTTCGGACTTCTGCATTCCTTGCAAGTCTCAAGTTTAGAGTCGCGTGCTATACAGTACAGTGTAAACATAACTTTTATATGCAATGGGAAACCAAAAAATTCGTGTGACTTGCTTTACTGCGGTGATGTGGAACCGAACCCGCAATATCTCAGAGGTATGCCTGTAGGTTTGTTGTCCCATGTCGTTTCCAGGCGAATGCCAAATATAGCAGGAGATGTAAGGGTTGAGGGGTGGATACTGAAGAAGCACACCATTTTTTGTATTATAACCATACGTGATAAATGTATCTGTTCTCCGAAACTCTTGAAGAAAATACAATATTTTGAGTACTAATATGCAATTAAATATTCGAAGGAGCCACATTTATTGCTGCCAGCCAGAGACCAGATGGCACATGGAGGAAGCAGAGGAGGGTACGAGACGGCTACATCCCCCCGGAAGAAGTTCCACTGTAAGAACTTATCGTTCTTTTAACACTGCTTATGGGAATGAAATGTATTTCTGATATACATTAGTAGGATTTGAGGTTTTCATGGTGGTGGGTCTATTTAATAAAAGCAAATCTTACACTTCAAAAGAAAGTATAGTACATGGCAAAAATAACAGGAAATCAGCCTCACATCATGGTACGTGCATGAAGCCTATTTGAAGTTTGCCATTGTCATCATTAAGACTCTTAAAATGTAATGAAAATGCAGAAAAGCAGTAACACACAAAATATCATTTAATCATTAATGAACTAGAAAAGTAAGGTTCAGGTTTGTATAAACTGTACCTAATGATCCTGCCAAGTACGGATGTCTGATAACACTAGTTTTATTTGAAATTACTAGGTTAAGGATAAAGTATTGTAACTTCATCAAATGTAACTGGTCAGTTTATTGTAAATTTGTACCACAGTTAACCCATTTTTGTTTATGTATTTCAGATACGAAAGCAAAGGCAAACAGTTTGCCAAGCATCAGCCTGTGTATCCAGTGGGACTGTCCCCTGAAATTATAAATGCTTCAAAAGCCAAAAGAGAAAAGGCTGATAGGATGGCATCAAAATCTAGCCCAATACCAGGACTAGTCATAGTTTCTACATCAGAAGGTAATTCTCATTGACACTTAAAATTTGGCTAATTGTTTTTGAAAAGGAAGGCATTTGAACACAGTTGCTAATAATAATTAAATTTGATTCACCAGTTGTTCTGTATAAGGTAACATTTCATATGATGTTTCATGGAACAAATTAATCCACAAACTGAGTAACTGCAAAATGATTACTTGTCTGTGTTATTTTATTTGTGTGTTATTAATTTATTTATGACAATTTTTTGACGTAAATATGTCTATGCGGAAGGGTCATTTGGCAAAAAAGCATAACGAAGTTGTGTAAGATCCATATCAACAATGTGTAAATATGGAACAACAATGGTCAGCTTTTATATGAACTCCTGCATGCATTGTTATGTTACCTAAGAAACTAATTGTTGCATCATCTGTTTACTCGGCATTGTTGTGTTACATTACTGCCGTCAACAATCCGCTTTCGTTATTGCGGAAAAAGCTGAGCTATGAATCGCTTGTAGAAGAAGTATGTCGTAGACTAGATAATTTTGTGCTGGTAAAAATGTTGTAGAATATCACAAGTACTTGTCTTATATAAGAATTATTACATTTCATTACATTACATTACAGAGACGTATTTATGTCAGATTCTCCGGAACCGTGGTTCCACTGTCAACTTTTTTCTACAATTTTGAAATGTTGTAACATGCAGTTTACTTTCTCATGAAGTGTATAAAAATAAGCATTTCAACTCTGATCAGCACAGTTTCAGCCATTTAAAATGAAGATAAATTTTAATTTTCATGTACAAAAATGCCATTAAAACAGGTCTTATGGTCTTTTATATGAAGACAATTATTTCCTGGGCTTGAAAAATGTGGTACATTTTTTAATTCATAAACTTTAATTGGAGAAAGGATCTCACCAGTTTTTTCACAATTTTGCAAAGAAAATAAACATTTTTAAAAATTAGCTGATTTATTTAATTCACAATATAAAAATCTTTCAAAAAATACAATTTCTAATACACTTCCTGTTTTCATTACTAAAAATCATTGTCAGAAGTTAGTATGGCTGGTTTAAAATAACTTTGCAATGGAAGGGTTAAATACTTTTGTGGTCACAAAATGTCTTCAAAGGCTTTGGTATGGCAAATTAAATTTGTTTGCCAAGAGGACACCACATAATTTTTAAAGCTCCGTAACCAGAATCATTTGAATTCATATGTTCACAATTGTCTGAAGTTACGTTTAATTGATTTCAGGAAAATCAAGCAAGAAAAAAAAGAGAAAGAAAATTTTTACTGGAGAAGATGAATTAAATACAAGTCTATCCAAAATTCAGTTGAGTCCTGAGCCAAAAATTCAAAGTTCCCAGTCAAAACCTCAGCAAAACTCCCAATGTAAAGCTGTAGTTTCCCAGTCAGACCCACAGCACTCGGCAAGTACAACCACATTACCAACAGATCCTGCCAAAAGAATCAAGAATCTTCGCAAAAGACTACGTGAAATTGAGTCCATAGAGCAAAAAGTTGCAGCTGGTGAACAGAAACTTGAGAAAGAGCAGCTGGATAAAGTTTCTAGGAAAAAGGAAGTCTTGAGTGAAATTGAACAGTTGACACACATATTAGGTGGTGAATAAATGAACAATTTATTTGTTCAGTAATTTATAACTAGATGAAATAGAATGAATTTATGCAATATCCTTTTCTATGATACATCTTTTACTCCACTGTGCACTGTGTTTGAAGATACATTTATGATACAAAGGAGTTGTTTTGTACAAATTTATATGACTGACACAGAGTTGCTTTTAAAATCAGAACCCTGATGAGTATAAAATATTTCTGTAAAGTAATGTCATTATTGTATAATTTGTTGTTTAATTTTTTTAATTTATTCCCTGTGTTTTTCCTACACATATTTTAATGGTATTTATGTTTAATAAATATAGTGTAGTGACATGTATTGTAACTTGTACAGATACTAATGTAGCGGATTATTTTGGTTATGTTTTAACAGATGAACAATTGTATGACTGTAAAATATCACTGAGAACATGTTTATAAATGTTTTAATCTTTACTTGTGCTGTCTCTTACTTTCTGATAAAATTATACTACTCATAGACCAAGGGGAGTACCCCTAGATGGCTATGAAAATTTTTGTATAGAGTAATGCCCTGTAGAGATGATTTACTTCTTAGCTGTGCCTACTTCCTCCTTTCTTTTAGTGTCAGTAATTTGGAAAACTTAAAGGCAAAGTGCAAATTTGAAAAATTGGGTCTTCCCTCTCTAAAAACTGCCTTATGATATAACCATGTCTGAGTGGAGTCAAACATCATTTTATAAGGTGGTGTATGATTCCACACCTCTGCAATAATAAAAAATAAGGATGAGTAAGATAGCTGTGTTATTTTGAAACTTTTAAACCAAGAACATACTGACTAATCACATTACACAAATGCATGTTTTTTTAAGCCACTGCACATGTCATATGAGCCGGCGTAGCTCAGTTGGTATAGTGACTGGCTACGGACTGGGCGACCGGGTTTCGATCCCCGACGGGGGCAGAGGATTTTTCCTCTAGCCTCTGCGTCCAGACCGGCTCTGGGGCCCACCCAGCCTCCTCTACAATGGGTACCGGGGTCCTTTCCCGGGGATAAAGCCGGCCGGGGCGTGATGCGGCCACTCACCCCCCTTTAGTGCCGAGGTCAAGAATGAGTAGGAGCTATACCTCCACTCCCCCCAAGCGCTTACATGACATATAGTGGGACAGCTTTACTTTACTGCACATGTCATAGACACCAGTGCAAAATTATTTTATTGGTAAGCAATGAGAAGATTAATTATATTTGGAAACTGAGAACAGTGTGCAAGAATCCTACCAGATTGTGGGATCAGTTTCAAACTGTTAGTGCCATAAAATATTTTTGGTAAATTAAGAAACCTAGGCTTTATGACAGATCCCATCCATTTTAAAGAAAGTGTGAAAACATATTTTCACATCCACTTCTATTGTTAATGTAACCCTAGGTCTGGAAAACACTGAGAACCCCTGTCTTAACCAGTCAAAGCCTGATATCCTCAAAGAGCAGGTGCAGCCAATGGTTTTAATTTAGGCCTCATACCATTCACTGTATTGTATATATATTTTTTCTTAAAGAATATTATAGGTAAAAAAAAATACACAGCCAAATTCAAGCAAACAATGAACAAAAATAACATTTAGATGAACTTTGATGCAGATGGTCACTGTAGGAAAGGATATGTGAAACTTATTGAATGACCAGGATGTAAGAAGTTGCTGGAAACACTCCATTAGAAATCTGGACTGAGAGAAGGGGGGTGTGTAGTATTACTTGATATTTCCAATTTTGTGACATGACTATTTACAGTCACTAAGAGGTCATGGAAGGTTTCAAAACCTCAACTGGGAAGAATGACTTTAAATTAATAAACTTTGCACATGATAATGATAATAGAATAATATATTTAATTCCTTAAAGGTCATAGTACTTAGGGCACTAATGTTACAGTCCACATTAAATCACACCCTTTTACTTTTACAAATGAAAATTGTTTCAAGAAACAATATGTCAGTTTCATAAAATGCTGTAACCATGTTGTTAGGATCATATTTAGAAAGTTATATGTGTCTCCGCTCACATAACTTTTACCATATCAAGCACTTATCCTGAGGGTTCATTGGTGATCCAGTGTGACAATTCCAGGCATGAGCAAAATCCTGAGAATTAGCCAAAGTTCCCTGCACTCGAAGTCTGTGTGGACTGTGGGAATCTGTCAGAACTTCTTGGAGTAGGGATTCCTTGGTGGATGATTCACACCATACCTACATGGAGAAGACATCAAGTAAAAATATACAAAGGTAACATGTTCCAGTTACACATAACAAACTGCTTCACCTTCTTGTGAAATGTCTTATATCTCTGGATAGCCCTACCTTTCCTAGTCATATCACATAATTCATGAATTTCATAACTTACAGTTGCAAATCCAAGGAAGAACAGCTGCTCAGGTGAAAACTGATGTAAGCCTGGCAGGCGTTTGTCAGATCCAGCGTGTTCCACATATTTCTTATAAGCTAGAAATGCTTGCCTCATTCCACCATTATCTGCCATGTTTTCACCTTGTGTAGTAACACCATTCATCTGTAACAGTACATTATAATTCACATTCCCAGCAACTCCACTGAATGATATGGTAACATTATTTACCTAACTGCTTACCCCATACCATATCTTGCAAAAGCTGTGTGTGAAAACGGTTTTACACCAAATTATGGAACACTGCAAACTCTATCACATCAGTACGTTTAAATACCACCTCATACACTGTATTTAAGTGTGTTGAGATTGGCAAGGGAATTTCATTTTAAAGCATATTAATGTGTCAGACACTGCGAATAATTCAGTCATTAATTAAATATGTCGATAGAAGTCTCACGGGCTGCACGATACCATGTATGTAGTCTTGTAGGTTGTTCTGGAGGAATGCATCACCTCTACTTAAAATTGTAAATATGAGGTTTGTGGATCCTACCACCTTTATCGTTATGATACGGCGAACCTCTTTCCTGGAACTGTAACTGGTAATGGGTCCATTGTCCATCCCTCAGAAGATACAGGTAAATATGGAGCAGTGGTGAAATGATACTGATGGTAAAACTGAAGGATTCAGAGAAAAATTTGTCCCAGTGTTAATCTGTCCACCACAAATCCCACATGGACTGTCCTGGGTGCAAACCCACACCATGAGAATCCAGTGACTAAACCACCTGAGCTATGGCAAAGTTCTTAGGGACCCCTAGCCTCATTGTTAATGGGCAAAATCCTTTCTGTGCTTGCAAACTAGACTTGAAACAAATCCCATTCTGAAAATCAAATTGTTAATTTATTTGTAAGTAAAACAACAAAATATCGATTCAATATAGTCTGAGTTACTGAAAAAATGTAATTAAATAAACTGCATGTAAATACACAACAGAATAATAATTTACACTGATGTAATCAAAAGCATCGAGGATTGACAGAACAAATGCATTAGAAGACTTCTCTTATCACAGTTGTAAACAAAGAAACTGAGTTTCAGATTGCCTTGTGATATGTCCTTTTCTCATGAATAAAATACAATTTCACTGACCATCACTTCTGTATGTAACATTTCATCTAGCTCTGGGACTCTGTACATGCCATACTGGTGTATGAAGCACTGGGCCTTTTCAAGGTAAGTGTCTGTGGTTGATTTTGACCACCACTGGGCAAGGTTACCATACTTGTCACTATGGCGGCCTGCAAGATATCAAAACTACAAATTAATATTTATCTTAGCCTATAAAAAACTGAAGTCTTTAAATCTTTGATAAGATCAAACCGACTGTTATGGAAAATTTACAAAAGGACAATAATCCAATCCATATTTCTTGAGACACATATATTTTTGCATTGCCCTACAATTATCTTTCATTGATGTTAGTCTGGTGCTGAACATATTCTGTTGATTGAAAATAGCGTACATTTTAAAAATTTACTAAAGCTCTTTTTATATTTTTATATACCATGATTAGGCTATATTATATAAATGATTTATACACAAAATGTTCCATTTATGTTGTTAACAGAAAGAGACAGTGGGAATATAACACAACATCTCATGAGCATGATTCTCAGTATAATGTTAATAATGTCTACTTATTTCATATTTAATAAAGATAAAAGAAATATTTGCACCTACCTATATCATCAAATCCATGCGTGATTTCATGTCCAATCATAGCACCAATACTGCCATAATTCAGTGCCCTGAAACATAGAAGAGTTTAGTAGTAGTGAACTGAATTTATGAGTAGAACTGACTTCCAAAATGTTGTAACTTTAATTAAAAACACTAAGACATTGAATTAAGTCCAAGAGAATAGTTATACACATTTTATCACAAATACCTTTTCATAATTAAAGTAATGCAATGAACTTACTCTGGCCTCCCTTTACTAAAGAAGGGTGGCTGTAGAATTCCAGCTGGAAAAGCTACAACAAAGATCATAATTATTAAAACTCTTCCTAGATGTCATAAAAATATACTAATTTATACAGCTTTTATTAGATTCTAAGATAGCATTTTAACTGGTGCCAATGTACACAGAATAAAACCATCATAATTCCATATAACTTATTCATAATACTATCTACAAACACATCTCAACATTTATGTATATTTTTTCAGATATCTAAAACTTCACTTAATCATAGAAATCATTTCTCAGGATTGTTAAGCATGTTATAACTGAAAGGAGACTTGTCTATGGCAGATAACAGAGCTCCCAAATTAATGGGATTTTAATGATTAGTATGATAATTAATGGTAATGAAATAGGCATACAAACATTCATGCTCAGCCTAAGATTGTCTATATCTTAAACTCTGCAGATGCTGGGAATCAGTCAGTATTCACACAATGTATATTATTTGAATAAAAATAAATACTTACTTATTGAATTAGTTTGATGGTTGTAATATGCATTAACAGTATCAGGACTTATGAACCACCTGAAATAGAATAGGTATGTCACAATAAATGAACTTCATTTCAAATTAATATTATGTGTCTATTTATAAGAAAAACACTATTCATTCCTGATCTGTTCCAGGTCTTTAATCTAGTGATAACTTCTTCTGGTATTAAACACTTAATCACATAACATGTTCATTAAATGAGAAACATCTTTGACAAGTATGCATGCTTCTCAATTGTTTAATATTTATTTACATATAATTCTTGTGTGGTTATGGACATATATCTTACTCTGTGCGGTCAGTGGGCAAACGTAGCTTGGAGAGGATCTGATGTACCAAAAATGTTCTCAGGGACACAACATTCCTAAAATGACTCCTTCCAATTGAAACCTAAATTTAAGAAATATCAGAATATGAGGCAAGTAGTATATATCAATTTCAGAACACAGTCTTCCTTCATAATTCTTAAAATATTTTATTTGGGCATCATCCAGTGCACAGACTACAGTTAATGTCCAACTAAAATATCATAACACTAATACACCATTACAGAGAAAGATCTTCTGAGTTGATGCACAATGTAGTATTTTGGCAGTGTAACAATATCTGGAGAGCTAAAAATGCAGGCAGTATTTTCCTCTGAAACAGTGGCACACAACCAAATTATATGGCACAACTCAGAACTACCATCACCATCTATATTCACACTGCCATGAAAATCTGCATAATACTACAATGTCATTAAATGTTAAAATGATATGGTATGCCTACAGTCATGCAGCTAGTCAAGAAATTCTTTGCTTTTTATAAAAACCCAAAGGCTCATTACAATGTTCGCAACAGCCCACATATCAGTGACATTAATACAATATTACAGCACACAGCAGACCAATAAAGTTTACACAGTTCAGATTTCTCTTCCAGGTTCCTGACATTTCAGAAGTGAAATAACGAAGTTCCATAAATACTTACCCCTTTATAATAAACTTCTAGTGCAGATTTATTTGCATACCAGTCAGGATAACCAATCATCTCCTTCATAGCTTGTGCCTTATCTTCCGCTATCTTCCGAGTAATAGGGTCCATCCAATCAACATCACTTACAGAAGAACTAAACTGCATGCGAATATTCTCCACCATCTGAAGAGCCTATCAAAAAGAAAGATTTAGATGCTGTACAATGTATTTTTGTATGAAGACAACTGTCTTCATACATAACATAAGAACCTCAAATTTCACCTAAAACATCTCTCATTTGTAATAAATACCAGCAAGAATATTTGATACAACCAAAGACATTTTTGCAGTCTGATTTATTATTTGAATTCAGGAATATCATTTTAGAACTGTTTCATAATATAACTTATACATTTGGTACTCCTATAATATAATGCTCTATAATTTTGTTAAAATTTTTTGCTTTATGGTAACAATGACAATACTGTGGTAATATCAGTATATAAGGTTCAATGAAATAAAAGTTAATATGTTATTAATACTTTAAAAACACAAAACAGTCTTTTGTCAGATTATATATTGTATTCTCAGTGCTTAATATATGCTAATAAAGGATAAATTTACAAATTTCATTAAATTGATTTAGTCTTTATTTAACCTATCAGAAATATAAGTTACTATGTAGAATAAGACTTACTGATCTCTTAGCCTCATTGTCAAAGAACTGATTAACATAAGAATATCCAACAGCAAAGCTTAGCGAACCACTAGCCATCCACACACATTCCCGCCACCTGTTGTGAAACAAACAGAGGAATACATAATACAAGATTCATATTATCATCAATATCACAGTCCATGGTTTTTATTATCAATGTGATACTCACAAA